AGGTTGTATGCAATACAATCAGAAAAGTTTTGTCGATCCTAAGGATGCTAAAAGGTATGCTAGCTCCAGCAATCCTTCTAAGGACTGGAGTGAGCATCTCGGAGTTGGAATGTATGCTTTGATCAAAGATTTTGGGTTTGTACAAAGTTTATGAGAAACTTGTATTTCCAAAGAAGTGAGTGGGAGCACTATAGAATTTCTGATGAATACATGTTGATCAGAAATGACGTAGAATTTCTGGAAAGCATATAGGGTTATTTTGAAAGTGTTTTTCAATGGAAAGCCTGGATTAAGCTACTTGAACATTGAGCATCAAGATCTATAAGGATAGATCAAAATGCTTAATAATACTTTCAAATGAGCACATACCTTGACATGATCTTGAAGGTGTTCAAGATGAATCAGTCAAAGAAGAAGTTCTTGCCTGAGTTGTAAGGTACGAAGTTAAGACTTAAAGCTCGACCACGGCAGAATAGAGAAAAAGGACGAAGGTCGTCCCCTATGCTTAAGACGTAGGCTCTTCAGTATGCTATGCTGTGTACCGCACCTGAAGTGTGCCTTGCCATGAGTCAGTCAAGGGGTACAAGAGTGATCCAAGAATGGCTCACAGGACAGCGGTCAAAGTTATCCTTAGTAACTAGTGGACTAAGGAATTTTCTCAATTATGGAGGTGGTAAAAGAGTTCGTCGTAAAGGTTACGACGATGCAAGCTTGACACCTATCCGGATAGCTCTGAGTAGAGAGACCGGATACATATAATGGAGCAATAAAGAATAGCTCAAAGTAGAACAGTTATTTGGAATAGCTCCAAATAGAGTGTGGTAGCTGCATCTAGGAGATGACATAGAGATTTGTAAAGCACACACGGATCTGAAAGGTTCAGACCCGTTGACTAAAACCTCTCTCACAAGTAACATGATCAAACATTAAAACTCATTGAGTGTTAATCACATAGTGATGTGAACTAGACTAATGACTCTAGTAAACTCTTGGGTATTAGTCACATGGCGATGTGACCTGTGAGTGTTAATCACATGGCGATGTGAACTAGATTATTGACTCTAGTGCAAGTGGGAGACTGTTGGAAATATGCCCTAGAGGCAATAATAAAAGTATTATTATTATATTTCCTTGTTCATGATAATTGTCTTTTATTCATGCTATAACTGTATTATCCGGAAATCGTAATACACGTGTGAATGCATAGACCACAATATGTCCCTAGTGAGCCTCTAGTTGACTAGCTCGTTGTGATCAACAAATAGTCATGGTTTCCTGGCTATGGACATTGGATGTCGTTGATAACGGGATCACATCATTAGGAGAATGATGTGATGGACAAGACCCAATCCTAAGACTAGCACAAAAGATCGTGTAGTTCATTTGCTAGAGCTTTGCCAATGTCAAGTATCTCTTCCTTTGACCATGAGAGCGTGTAACTCCTGGATACCGTAGGAGTGCTTTGGGTGTATCAAACGTCACAACGTAACTGGGTGACTATAAAGGTGCACTACAGGTATCTCCGAAAGTATCTATTGTTTTATGCGGATCGAGACTGGGATTTGTCACTCCGTGTAAACGGAGAGGTATCTCTGGGCCCACTCGGTAGGACATCATCATATGCGCAATGTGACCAAGAAGTTGATCACGGGATGATGTGTTACGGAACGAGTAAAGTGACTTGCCGGTAACGAGATTGAACAAGGTATTGGATACCGACGATCGAATCTCGGGCAAGTAACATACCGATAGACAAAGGGAATTGAATACGGGATTGATTAAGTCCTTGACATCGTGGTTCATCCGATGAGATCATCGTGGAACATGTGGGAGCCATCATGGGTATCCAGATCCCACTGTTGGTTATTGACCGGAGAACGTCTCGGTCATGTCTGCATGTCTCCCGAACCCGTAGGGTCTACACACTTAAGGTTCGATGACGCTAGGGTTATAAAGGAAGCTTGTATGTGGTTACTGAATGTTGTTAGGAGTCCCGGATGAGATCCCGGACGTCACGAGGAGTTCCGGAATGGTCCGGAGGTAAAGATTTATATATAGGAAGTCCTGTTTCGGCAATCGGGACAAGTTTCGGGGTCATCGGTATTGTACCGGGACCACCGGAAGGGTCCCGGGGGCCCACCGGGTGGGGCCACCTGCCCCGGGGGGACACATGGGCTGTAGGGGGTGCGCCTTGGCCTACATGGGCCAAGGGCACCAGCCCCTAGAGGCCCATGCGCCAAGATGAAGGAAAAAGGGAAGAGTCCTAAAGGGGGAAGGCACCTCCGAGGTGCCTTGGGGAGGATGGACTCCTCCCCATCCTTAGCCGCACCCCTTCCTTGGAGGAGGGGGCAAGGCTGCGCCCTTCCCCTCTCCCTTGGCCCTATATATAGTGGGGAAAAGGAGGAGCAATCAGACCTAAGGCCTTTGGTTGCCTCCCTCTCCCTCCCGTGACACATCTCCTCTCCCGTAGGTGCTCGGTGAAGCCCTGCAGGATTGCCACGCTCCTCCATCACCACCACGCCGTTGTGCTGCTGCTGGATGGAGTCTTCCTCAACCTCTCCCTCTCTCCTTGCTGGATCAAGGCGTGGGAGACGTCACCGGGCTGTACGTGTGTTGAACGCGGAGGTGCCGTCCGTTCGGCACTTGATCATCGGTGATCTGAATCACGACGAGTACGACTCCATCAACCCCGTTCACTTGAACGCTTCCGCTTAGCGATCTACAAGGGTATGTAGATGCAAACTCTCCTCTCCTTTTCTACTCGTTGCTGGTCTCTCCATAGATAGATCTTGGTGATATGCGTAGGAAAATTTTGAATTTCTGCTACGTTCCCCAACAGAAGGCACACCAACGCCACGAAGGCTCACCCTATTTTCTCTTTGAGACAACACCACGAAGGCGTTTCTCAACCACTAGCGGTAGACCTTGGGGTGGTCTCCAAACCCTCACAAACTTTCCGGGGGTAATCACAAAGTTCGATTCCTCTCCGAATGACTCCTACCGCCTAGGAGTCTCCAACCTCCAATAGTAACAAGAACATTGGGAAATGCTCAAGAACTTGCTCAAATCACAAATTCCTTTGGTGAAAAGAAGGGGAAGGAGTGGATCTATCACTTGATTGGAGAACTTCTCTCAAATGCTCCTAAATCCCTTGGGGATCAAGGATTTGGTGTAGGGGATCAAGAGAGGCAGTGAGATGTGTTCTTAGAAAGCTCAAAGTGAATGGTCAGTCTTATCCCGTGGGAGGGAGAAGGCTATATATAGTGATAGTGTAAAACAGACCGTTGAGCCACACAGTGTGTTGGAGTTGTCGGACGTCCGGTAAGTACCGGATGGCCGGTGACTCAGATTGGACCGGACGTCCGGCCGGGCCGCTGGTCGTCCGGTCGCTGGAAAGCCTACCAGGCCACAGAAGTCGCATGGGCCACACAGCCAGCGGACGTCCGGAAGACGCCGAACGTCTGGTGGCCGGACATCCGGTGCGGTCGGAAATCCGTTAGTAACCGTTATGTTGGGTCAGTACCGGACATCCGGAGAGGAACGGTTGTCTGGTGACCGGTCGTCCGTTGAGATGCACCGGACACCCGGGGAGAGCCGGATGCCCAGTCGGCTGTGAGAGGTCGGACGTCCGTAGATCTTCGGACGACCGGTGATAGCTGAACCTACTAGCTTAGTCTCATACCAGTTTTTGTGCACAAGGTAGAGGATGAAACAGAGATATTTTTGAGAGGATATTTTTGTGGGTTTTGAGCAAGTTCTTTCACGAAATCCGACTATCCCCTCTTAATAGTGCGGGATCCCTATACTCAAGAACAAACCGAAAAAGGAGCCGAAGCTTTTGTCTTTGTCTTGTATCTCTACTCTCGAGTGATACATATATTTGTCCATATTCATGATCCACACACGGCCCTTGAGACATAATCCTGAGATATACTTGATAAACATGATTAGTCCCAATATGCATGTTATCATCAACATCAAAATATGATTAAGGGCATGATTGCACTTTCAGGGGGCATCTCCCAAATCTACCTCCTTCCCATATCCTCCATGGGTGGAGGCGGTGCAGTAAACGATGACATAGCGCCAGTCATGACACAAGGCCAAACACTACAAAGACAATGACCCTAATCATGCTATACACTGAAGCAACCCAAGCTCCCCTCTCATCCCCACTCGGGGTAGCAACGCTGACGTAGAACAGAGATGGGATCCAGTGTCAGGCGTAGGCTTTAGTCGACATCAGTTGGTCTCTCTTCAGTTCACATGTCCATTTCCTTCAGACAACGATTCGTCGGATCCTACTACCGTGATTCATTCGGAGCCTGATAAACCTTCAACGGCTCGGATTCTAGTTACCGTCAATTAACATTGTTTACTGCACTGTGCAACCACCTATAAACCCCTACCGGGTTGTGGATAGGGTTCTTATGCTTGATTTGAATCATTCCTGCATGTAGCAATAGATCATATACACACATACACCACTATACTAATACATGGCCCTCTTTGCTTGACCTTATACCTATATTTGAAGTAAATTCCCGTACAGATCTTCTAACTCGTATACTAATACATGCCCCTCTTTGCTTAGCCTTATGCTTAGATTTCGAGTAAATTCCCGTATCAATCTTCGATACAATTTGTTGATCCCCATCGCGGATCTGGCCGCCGGGAGATGAGGCATGCTCTCAATGTGGGAGGACCCGGAGGAGGAGAGAGAGGGGGGCGGGGGGTTTCGAAGCGAATACATCAACCGTGTTGACAAGTGTTGAGAAAAACACACAAAGAAGAAACAAGGCGTGTGCAGCCCTGAGCAGTCACTGACAAGCCGGGCCTACAGAAGTTCATGTTTCCGGATGACGGCCGTTGGAACTGTGGCGGGAGGAGCAGGTGGGCACGAGCCAACCAAACCCTATCCCCTCCAGGCCCCGCCACGGTCTCCCTCCAAAACCCCAACGGAATCCGATTCCCCATGGCACCCGCCCCGCCAGCCTCCCATGGCGCCGCCGCTCGCCGCCCCGCGTTTCCATGCCGCCCTCCCCCGCGGCCTCCTCCTCCGCCCCCGGAAGCCCCTCCCCACCTGGCGCCGCGCCGCTCGCCCGGACGACCAGGTCCATCCCACGCGCCCGCGCCCGCGCCCGCATTTGGTGGTCTGTTGCTCGGTTCGGGTTTGATTTGGTGTTTGTTGCAGGATTTGTACGTCGACGACGACATCGGAGACGGCTTCTCGTTCAGCGGGGGTGAGTGAGGATCTGTGTGTATGCTTAACGGAATCGCAGGGTGCAAAAGTTTGGCTGGGTTCCTCTCTGCTCTGATTGCTTGCTAACGTGTGGATTGGTGCAGGGAAGTATGCGGAAGCCGAAGGCCCGAGTAAGTCGGACGAGTGGTTCGCTCAGGGCAGAATGGTATGATGCGATCACTCATTCACCCATTTCCAATCAGTTGTTCTGTGCTGATGGATACTCACAATCTTTCTAGTTTTGAGCAAATGTTTGGATGTTTGCACCTTTTTCCTGCTAATTCAGTGCCGTGCCATGAACTTTTGACCTATCAGTTGTGTGACCACTGTAATTTGAGCTAGCGATGCTAATGAGTGTGCACCTGTGCTGATAGGTAGTTTTCTTTATTTTGTTTGAGCAAATGTTTGAATGTTTGCACCTTTTGTCTGCTAACTTCGTGTAGTGCCAATGTTGCCATAAAATTTTGACTTATCAGTTGTCTCACCAAGCATGGCAATGAGTGTACACTTCTGCTGATAAGGGATTTTTTTTGTGGTGTGGTGCCAATTAGCTGCATTGTATATGCTGGTTGGTTTTTGATGAATTATCCAAATCGTTGCAGGTGAAAGCTCATGCATTATATGGGAACAAAGAAAAGGCAAAAGATCCCTTTTTTGGGCTCACCATGGGTTCAGGATCACAATCTTCCGGTGATGTTTTCAAGTGAGTTGAATTGAACCATATGTTGTCTGCTAATATATAGGACAAGTATGTTAATATAGAAAGAAGATCATAGTTTTTCTGTGTACTTCTTTATTGTGTTTCAGTTGGTTTTGTGCGGAAGCGGGGAGCTCTTCTAATCCTACGGTCCTTCTAATTCATGGGTTTCCATCTCAGGTCAGTTTTTAGATAGCTTCCAATTTCTTCTCATTACACTGACAAGGGCTGAGCTGAGGCATTTTTGGGTTACAGGCATACTCTTACCGAAATGTGCTACCTGTACTAGCAGACAAGTATCGTTGCATTGCTTTTGACTGGCTTGGTGAGTTATGCACGCCTTTTGGTGCTTGATAAATGTAGAATAATCGAATAAGTTGGCAGAGAAAAGCTATGTCACTCGTACGTTGGCAAACACATTCTGAAAATTACTGGTCATTAGTCTCAAGGAGTATGCGAACCAATATAGAAACTCATCACTGGTACAAGTTATCAGCCTCTGACGTCAGAAATCAAGAACAGAAGAGACAGATTTGACTGGCTTACCACTTACCAGTTACCACCCACAAAACTTTTTCCCCTTTTGTAAAATCCCCTCAGCGGTTTACGGACTAGTAACTAACTGGTTGTGTTTCTGTTTAGTGTTGCTGCTCAGTCCCCAGAAGTTAGAACAGTTCGATATTTATCTGTAACTCTAGAACAAAGAATTTTGTATCTGCAGGTTTTGGATTCTCAGACAAGCCTCAACCTAAATATGGTTTTGACTATACTCTGGATGGTAATGTGATCTACACATTATTCCTTTTCTTCTAAACAATCTGTTGAACTGCATACTAATGTGAACTACTATGTTCCAGAATATACTTCAGCCCTGGAATCGTTAATCGATGCTGTTGCTCCTGATAAGCTCTCCATTGTTGTTCAGGTGCTTCTCATCATATGGGTGTTGGTTAATGTACCATTTTGTGTTTTTTTAATGCGAGGATGTAAAATCTTGCAGGGCTACTTCGCTCCAATAGTAGTCAAATATGCTAAAGAACATCAGGACAAGTTGAACCACCTTATACTAGTTAATCCACCGGTAAGTTTTTTTATCGTGTATTTTGCACTGGCATTTTGGTGAGATAAGCAAGTTTTCCCTCTAAAGCTTCATTATACATTAAGAGTTGCAGGCTGCATCTAATTTATGGGTTAAAGGCTTCTTTATGTTTCAAGAGTTATAGGCTGATCACGGGATATCTCATATTATAGATAACTGACAAACATGCAAAGCTTCCATCCACCCTTGCATGTTTCAGCAACTTCTTGTTGGGCGAAGTATTTTCTCAGGTTAGCAGCTATCGTGCCAACTTTGCCTAGTCTTATGTTATATAATCATTTTGGTTAAAAACAACTGTCTGAAATCTTTCAGGATCCTCTTAGAGCTAGTGATAAGGCCTTGACTAGTAGTGGCCCATACATGATGAAGGAGGAAGATGCTACTGTATATAGAAGGCCATACCTTGTCTCAGGTGCATCTGGTTTCGCACTGAACGCGATAACAAGAGCTATGGAAAAGGATCTTAAGGTAGTATGCTCATCTATCACCTTGCTTTTGTTTCGAAAAGAGGGTGACCCCTGCCCATTGATGCAGACAGCCAATCCATCACCTTTCTATTGCTTTGTTAATTTAAATGTTCTAAATTGGTTGTTTTAATACAGGCTTACATTGAGTCCATGAGAAGCATATTAGCGAGCGATTCATGGAATACAAAGACAACAATATGTTGGGGCTTGAGAGATCGTTGGCTCACTTATGATGGGGTGGAAGATTTTTGTGATGGCCTAAAACACAACGTTGTGCAGCTGCCAATGGTTTGTTTCTGTACCCTTCTCCCAATGTTTTCAAAACATTATGTTCAAAGTACTTAAATGGAAATGGAATCAAATCAAAGTTAAGTTACTGCAGGTGTAGATTATTTTCATGGTTCCTCGTATTAGGAATAATTGGCTGACACATCTTCTTTTTCTTGCGCAACTAATTTGAATGTCTGGATCTTGTTTTCTTCACTTCACATTTTATTAATTTTGTTTCATGACATATCATGCAGGCAGGGCACCATGCTCAGGAGGATCGTGGTGAAGAGCTAGGGAATATAATAAAACGTATACTGAGGTAATGCTGTCAAAATTTTATTTACTTCCTTTCACAGTTGAATTTTTCGACATTGTCCGCCAAAAATTTCGTTTTTAACTGTTTACACCATTGCAAAACTGACTGGCTCAGAGAAGTCAGACTCAAAATCAAGCATTCATATAATACATTCTTTTGAGTAACAGAATAAGTAAGCCTTGTTGTTACAAGGTGTGTTAAAAGTATTCCATAGCACTCAGATAACTCCCACTGGAGTTTTATGGGATGAGGAATGTAGTTATGAGATATGTCATAACATTTCTTGTCAGCGTTTATGTTTGGGCAGCTTCAGGGGAAAAATCTGTTTTCCTGATGTATCCAAGGCTCTGCGTCTACCTAATTAGCTCTAAGACTATATATAGTCCTACTAGCAATGGCAGGGAGACAAGCATCCCAAAAATCACCCTGCAAAATCGAGCAACAAACTGTTGTAAGACTAAGAAATTGTTGTCTGCATAAGCGTTTGCCTTCATCTAATTGTAGTTTATAGTTAGTTCCAAAGACTTACGCAGTACTAAGGACGTCGGCATGCAGGCCGTATTCTTTTGCAAATATGAACGACGTGATTGATTGAGGTAGTGCAGCCTGCAGAATGTTTAAACAAAGCGTCAGGCTATAGGCACAGGTAAATGTTAACAACATTATAATGCATAGAAAGTTTTATAAGGAGGTACCAATTTTTTATTTGGAATTTGTTAACAATAATATGTAAAACCTCGTGTACACTCATTTTAGTAAGGTTGATCTATTTCCGCAAAAAAAAAAAGGTTGATCTGTAGAGAGGAACATCTTCTTGGTATATGAGATCGGACCTACATAACCCTACCATCATCCAGATGATAACTTTCCCACTATCTGGGTGGAGGCCAATTCCCCCCACTTTTTAGACCACAAATTCTAGGAGACCAGGATTGACTTCACACCTGTTCCAAGGACTGCTTCAAGATTAACATTCTCCCTGTTACCTCCAGTTTGTTAAGTTGAAGCGGTCTTTACCTTAAACAATCAGTACCGCTTGTTTCACCAAAGCAAAACTGGCACCCCTTTGCATCTTTTATAATGTCATATATAGGGTTGGAAGTGCTAACATGGGGCATTATGAAAGGATGGCATGGACACCAGTCAGGCATCAAAGATGACATACTATTCTTTAACCATGATCCACATCAAAATCTTTATGGGTTCATATGAGCCTAATCATCTCCAGTGAAATGCGCATTAGCTGACATGATGAGGAGTAGGACTACCCTGGTGCATCGTCTAAGTGCTGACTCCACAATAGCAACTACTGATTTAAAAACCCTTAGCATTGATTATGTTGCTGAACTTTCCATATTACTATATGGATGCTAGTGTTTAACCAACAGTTTAGTCTGGTTCATGCCTATGCGACTTTTCGACAAGCATCTAATGAGTGGTTGCTAATGACTTGCTGTTTTGGACATGGCCCTTTTTCATCAGAGGATGACTACAGTCATATGGGGCCAGGCTCTACAACATGCCAAAAACAGGTGTTGTGCCCTTCCTTGCACTTTCTCCAAGCCTTTCTTTTCCTTTAATTTTTCACCACACTTTCGATCCCCCCGACCGATTTCAACGATCTCCTCTCGTCCTCTCCAGGGGTCAAAATGTGGCACAACAATAGCAAATAGGGACATGCACTCTTCTTGGTATGAAAAAGAGAAGCTGCGCCGCCCCATTGAAGGCCAACCCACTCCATGGTCAAGACAGCGCTCCAGAGTGATTTTGAGTGTCTATGGACACAAACAAACGGCAATTACCGGTCTGTGTTCCATGTTATTGGATACGTTTTTCAGTATTTGACCTTTGTTGTGCATGACTTGAATGTTCTTAAACAAGATCAATACAGATGGCCAAGATGATAATTCTGCTAACTACAATCACGCAACTATACTGTTTGGAACGCGTACGTGTCCCGTGCCACGTAACGATGTGATTAAACTATAATGAGTCTGTTATTGCTCCTGTGGTGCATGCTTAGCTTTTAAGCATTAGGCTCCATGTTTGTGGCTCTGCAGGCAGCGTTGGTCTCAAAAGCCCAAAGTGGCGAGGTTAGTGGTGCTGACAAACTAGGACCCGAATCTCAGATTGAGATTGCACATTTGTATGTGTGGTCTTGAGGCAATGATACCTAATCTAGCTATGCTTTTATTCCATCGACTAAACAAACCTCTGGGCGGCTTTGTGTTCGTGTGGTAATTTTTTCTCCGCGGTTGCGATCTAATGTCGGTGAAATCCAATTATGGTAGATAACTTTGAGAAATCTTTTTCTTTTGTTTAAAATGCACAGTAAGGACCGAAGTGCTCTGCTCAAGCTGGTTTTCTTTTCTGGTCAAGAGTGGAGTCACGGGACTTCGCTATAAAGTGGTAAAAACTCTTCATTGGTTTTCTTGCATGCATGAAGGCAGATGCTGGGTGGATTGACATCAGCATAGCATCAACTCTGCGTAACATTAACCCAAGTGAAAATTCTCAGGTGTTGGGAAACAGATACTAGATGTTCAGTAATACACATCCCCTTTGAGCATTTTGGCTTTGCAACGGTTTCGTAAACGCAAATTTGATGTTTAATCTTATAAACATGTCAGTAAAAGGGACCGACTAGACGCTAATAGCCGACCGATCAAAATCTTCTATCTTTTTTGTAGTTACATGAATCATGTGTTTAGACTTTAGACCAGATGGTTTTTTGCGGTAACTAGAGAATATTATTTCTCAGTTGCTTAATAAAGGGATTCAGAAGGAGAACTGAAGTCTTCAGGTTAGTGAAATTTGGTTGGACGCCATTTTACTAGGTCAGCTGTTAGCTGACGGAGGTAGCAGTCTTTTAGTATTGGACACTCTGAGCTTAACAAAATTCATGACCACTACGCATGTACGTAGAAGTAGAAGGAGGTGAGGTGATTAGGGAGCGGTACGTGCCTGTATGATGGCGACGCGAAGGACGTCGCCGCGGAGGCCGACGGCGATGGAGCCGATGGCCATGGCGACCGGGCCGAGGCCGAACTTGAGGGCCAGGCCCAGGGCCGCATAGCTCGGCCCGCACGCCAGGATTTTCTCCTGCTGCGCCATGAACAGCCCTGCATGCACAAAAAAGTTAGCTAGCTAGTCGTACCACTCCGTACTACTACATGAGTTACCGAACAACTCTAGAATAATCTTTTAAGTTTCTCTAGTAGGAGGAGTAATATTTTTTGCCTTTCACTGCTGTTTTTCAAGTTGCTGTCGACCACAGACAGCATGCATGCAACGTGAAAGCAGAACCTGTGCCTTTTGGTGGATGGATTCCTCTGTAAATATTCTATTGCTTTTGCTATATATGATTCTTTGTACTATTTCTTTTAGGTAATTATTACTAATAACCAAATGGAATATGTATTACTACTAGATGGGGCATTAGATACGGATTGAAACAAGTAGCGATGCAAAGCTATGGAAGAGATAACTATGCGATACCTCTTCGATTAAGATTAATCACTATGCACCAGCAGTGCACGTACGTAAATCTGGATAAAACATGCGCATGTTCGCATCATATATTCATAAGTAATGGATTGATGACTCACCCATGCTGAACATGGCCATCCCCGTGCCTGACTTGGACATGATGAGCACCGAGTTCTCCAGGACACTTGGCAGCTCCATGTGTAGCCTGCATATTAATTTCATTTTCAGTGAGCACAAACTTAATTATTGGACATGGGGTACAAAAGATGGGCAGTAAAATCGTTGATCCCATTGCATATCTACCATGCATGCATATGCATTTGGGGAGCAGAAAAGAATGCCTAAACAAATTATATGGCTAGTTCTACTTCTAGGGCTTGTGGAGATAGCATTAAAGCAGCATGCATATGCATACGCATGCAGTATTGCATGGTGAGCGACACGTCGGAATGCACGTAGCATAGCACCATACCTGTTGGCAACACAGGCCCAGGTGATGCCGACGAAGCTGGCGTAGGTGTTGGGGTTGCGCGCCAGCTTGTGCGCCACCGTCTTCACCAGCCTCCACACGGACGGCTTGCCGCCCACCTCCTCGGCGCCGGTGGGCGCAGCCTCGACGTCGGCCTTGACGGGCGACTCGGGCATGGCGGCGTCGTGGACGACGCTGGTCTTGCCGACGTCGACGTACATGCCGATGGCGGCCTTCCTGACCTCGAGCACGAAGAGGAGGAGCGTGAGCCAGACGATGGCCTGGAAGACGGAGAGCTGCACGACGAGCTGCTGCGCCCACTCGCCGTACATGGCGCGCGCCATGGGCACGCCGACGACGAGCGAGTTGGTGAGCGTGGAGAGGGAGAAGCCGGTGATGGACCACCCCGCGGCGCCCTTGCCGTTGCCGTTCCGGGCGAGGAACCTGGCCCAGACGGCGATGACGGCGACGATGACGGCCTTGGAGATGACGTCGGCGGCGACGGCGCGGTAGTTGACCTGGAACGGGTCGGTGTGCAGCGTGAACTCGAAGGTGAAGAAGGGCAGCGCGAAGAAGGCGACGAGGCGGTTCACGGCGTCGCACTGCTCCCGCGTGAAGATGCGCCACCACCGCACCGAGCCGTAGCCCAGGAACAGGGCGAAGTAGAGCGGCGCCGTCGCCGCCACCACCTTGTACACGTCCCCCCACCCGATCATCCTCAGCTAGTGTGGCCCCTTCTTCCTCCTCGGTCTCAGGCTTTCGATGGCCTGCCTCTTCCTCTTGCTGTCGTGATCCTAACTTGTGACCTTGTGATCGATCTCGTGCGAGCTAGGGATCGACCGATCGATCGAGCAAGAGAGTGTGTGTGTGTGTGCTCGGTGCAGTGAGAGCTATAGTGTGAGAGGCTGGGTGTGGTGGGGTGGTGAGTTTTATAGGGAGCTGGGGGCGAGGTGGAAGAGACGAGCTGATTACAGTGTGTGGCCAGGTGTTGGACATGTCACGGAGCTCTGGCTAGCTAGCTAGTGGCCGGATGAAGGGACGGTTAGGTTTAGGGGAGGGGGGATCTTGTTCGCGCGCTTTTGGCTTTCGAATGTGTGCGCGCATGCAGCGATGCGGGAGTGAACTTGGTTTGGTTGCTTTGCTTCGACGAGAGGAGAGGCGGCTGACATGGACATACACATACTACGTGCAGTGCGCGTGCGTTCAGGTGCGCGCGACGGTACGTGTGGGTGTGGCCGAAAGCAGAGTGCCCGAGTCGTCCATGCCATCGAGGAGGCTGACATGGACGCATGCACATCCCATGCTTTCGGTTCGATCGAGCCGGCCCGTCGGTGTACGTGCGTGCGTTTATGTTTCTTTTAGCACGGTACAGAGGCAACCACTCATATATACGCACATACACTTATCTCTGTGAACGCATACATGCACACCCTATCCTTATGAGCACCTCCGAGAGATTGAGCTCATAAACGCCTTCGTAGTCGACGGGAATGTCTCCTTCCACCGAAGGCAAATTTAGGACTTGTGAACTCTGGTGGGCTGGGAATATCACTGTCCTCCTAACCATTCAACCATAGGTTGATTTATTTTTTTATCTGACCATAGGTTGCCTCATGGTTAGTGTTCAGTTGTTCACATCGTCATCTAGTTGTAAATAATATTTTGAAAAGTTAAACTCTATAAACTTTGAGATTTTTAGAAGAGAAAAAGCATAAACTTTGACCATCTCAAAATGAGAACACATTTTATCTCGATTCTAGTGGTATTGATTCAATATCGTTAAAATATCGATAAATCTTTTACAATATCAAAGTTTATAAAGCTGACCTCTGGCAATTATTCATGACGTATAATTTGGTAAGGGGGGAGTACTTAACCCTACCACTTGCCATATGCGTACAAGTAAAATGGACATATATTTTGCCAAAAAAAAATCCCTCTGTCCCGTAATATAAGATGCTATTACAATCGATATGAGTAAAATGGATATATGCTCGACCGATCGATGCAATAAAAAGCTGGGAACAATATGCACTTGCGCAACTAGGACGATACATAACTACATGTAAAGCGTTGAAAGAGAATGAAGCTATGGTGAAATGCTAGCCTGATACTACTACTCATGCATGCTGGTGGTCTCAGGTCAGTACTCCTATATTGCTTCAAAAGTGCACCGCTAGCCACCTAGCATCTCCTGCTGGGGGCCTACGTACCTGAGGGGGACGAGAGAGAGAGACGTATCGTGTACGTGGTAAGTGGATCGATCAATCAAGCATATATGTCTCTGCATGAGGGAATACGGTGCGCAGTATTAGTGATTTGTTCGAAATTCTAATCTGGCCCCATGCATGTTGTCCAAATTATTGTTATCATTTACCAATGCTAGCTAGTAGTACCTCCGTATGCAATACATCTCTGGTCGATCTTGAAACAGCGAGATGTATATACAAAGAACAAAGATACGCGGCGAATTTTTAGTTTGTTCGGAAAGATAATGCGGAGAGAATTGGTGCATGTCGTGCACAAATAAG